TTTGTGTCGTTTCGTGTTCACATTTGAATGCAAAAACGTTGCATTCTAATTTTAGGTGTGCGTTTGCTCAGTATACAGTATATCCTACATACTGCATAATTAATTAATAAAGCCCCATAAACAAGTCACAAAAGATTTATATTATTTTCACTGTTCAATGTAAACACTTTATGTATTGTATTGAGCACATTATAGTGCTGAACCCAGATTCCTTGTGTTAAGTGGCTGAAAAATATTAGCTGTCTCCTGTTTCCCCTTTTGTGTGTGTGTGTGTGTGTGTGTGTGTGTGTGTGTGTGTGTTCACTCGTTGGTGTGTGTGTGTTTCCTCATGATCTATTATATGCTATCATTGTTTGTCTTGTTCCGTCACTAACCACTGGGTTTTTTTTCTTTCAACGCTCTATTTTCAGGGAGCTTGATGCATAGCGTCCAAAGGAAGGTCACTAGGGCACTGTGATGCAGAGAAATAATACCCATAATTCACCGTACATCAGCTGCATTGGAATAATTTTCCTAGAATACTGGAGCTGATCTAGTTAAGAAAATTATCAGGCCCCAAAATAAAAACAAACAGTTAATATCGTACAGTGTTTAAGATATGAGAAGCTTTCACGGCAGCTTCACTGGGTTTTATCGGAAATCATTCCTTATCAAGATGAGCAGTGAAGAGACAGCACTGGGGGACAGCTCACGAAGACAACATCCTTATCACTGATGACCTTGACTGAATACAAGTACCTAACTGGTTTGTTTTAGAGCTCTAAACAAATAAACTTTTTCATTATAATATAAAAGTAAAACAACATATTTTATTTAATTCTAAGGAAGATTTTATTTGTCCTTACAATGGAAGTCAACAGTGCAGTGGCCGAGAGAGCTCAACGCGCTGCAACTTCAGAAAACACATGCAAATAGAAAAAGCACCAGCAAATTAAGAAAGCATCTTCATCAGTTTGACAGCACATGTGTTGTGTTGTGAGTATTTGCAGTGCATTTCTTTATTGGGTTGTGTTGAGAGCTTTTGCAGCGCGTTTTTTTATTTGGTTGGTGTTGTGAGCATTAGCAGCGCGTTTCTGTTTTTTGCAGCGCGTTTTTTTATTTGATTGGTGTTGTGAGCATTTGCAGCGCGTTTCTTTATTTGGTTGTGTTGTGAGCATTTGCAGCACGTGTGTTTTTTAATTGATGAAGATGTTTTCTTAATTTGCAGGTGTTTTTTCTATTTGCATGTGCTTTTTCATTTGCAGCGCGTTGAGCTCTCTCGGCCACCATACAACAGGGTCCAAAGTTATTTTGGAACTAGATTTTAATAATGACTTGATTTTCCTAATTTTCCATTGCTTGGACAAACAGCTAGTTCAACCAAAACCTCACTTCAATGATATTACATCACATTTTCAAAGTGAAATATCCAGTGCACTAAAAAGCATGATCAGTTTTTCAAAACAGATGAATGTGAATTTGGCAACATTTTATTACGTTGCTTGTTGTCTGTCTGTTGTCTGGACATTAAATGTCCAGTGAGGGGTGCTAAAAGGTTAATGCCGTATTGCATTTAAAAATAACATATCACCTACACTAAACCCTACCCTAAACCTAACTGATAGTGTTAACAACAGCAAACATGAGATAAAAAGCACATTTGCTAAAGCAATCACATAATTTTAGCTTGCTTCTACAAGTCTTTACTTTATCACGCGCGTGTGTTGTCAAATTGATGAAGATGTTTTCTTAATTTGCAGGTGTTTTTTCTATTTGCATTTGCTTTTTCATTTGCAGCGCGTTGAGCTCTCTCGGCCACCATACAACAGGGTCCAAAGTTATTTTGGAACTAGATTTTAATAATGACTTGATTTTCCTAATTTTCCATTGGTTGGACAAACAGCTAGTTCAACCACAAGGTTAATGCTGTATTGCATTTAAAAATAACATACCACCTACACTAAACCCTACCCTAAACCTAACTGATAGTGTTAACAACAGCAAACATGAGATAAAAAGCACATTTGCTAAAGCAATCACATAATTTTAGCTTGCTTCTACAAGTCTTTACTTTATCACAGCTCGTGATTTACAGGATCTGTAGCTCAGCAAAAGTGCTGTACTAGGTGGGTTTCTGAGCAAGTTTACTATGTCAGAAAAGAGTTAGTCATAATGTATCAGTTCACAGTAACTGTATTTTAAGGACCAAATCTCACTAATAACTAACATGCATATCACTAGCATATTGGTTGTTAATTAGTACTTATAAAGCACATATTAATGCCTTATTCTGCATGACCATATTTTAGATCTTCTAATCCTACCCCATACCTAACTTAACAAATACCTTACTAACTATTAATAAGCAACAAATTAGGAGTTTACTGAGGCAAAAGTCATAGTTAATACTTAGGTATAAGTGAGAACTGGACCTTAAATTAATCAATGAAATAAAAGTTGATGTTTTACTGAGTTTTGCACAAATGTAGGTCGATGCATGTTTTTCTATGTTTAACACAGGCTATTCGAACTCTGTGTGGACAACACAAACTTGTCAAACTCTACAGATGACTGTCCAAACCGCTAATCGGTATTGAGTAGGCTGATATAGTAGACTTCAAAACAGAGGCATTATGAGGAGATAAAAGACACCCAGATAAGAGCTCACACCCAAAGACATCAGCGGTGGGAGATCAAAGACTTACAACATGAGTTAGGACGAGACCTCAGAGGAGCAAGAGATAAAAACCCTCAATATGCCACCATGCAGAATATACAGTATTTCTGGTCCAAAGCCCATTTTAAAGGAACGGTTGACTGATCCTTCAACATCTCCTTCTGCAGTGAGACTACACATCTATGCTGAACAAGATACAAAAAATATGTTGTTTTTTTTTTTTTGCTGAACAGATCCAAGCTTTGGGCACTCAGACATCTAGCTGGCCGTCCATCAGCTGCATGCTGGGGGTTTCTGCCCCAGGTGCCCAAGCTGTTGCTGTGGATTGGGCTGTTACCACGGGACACGTGGCTGCTAAGGAGATGCACACACATAAACACTGAGAGACGTCACAACACAACATCTCTCTGGGGCACATATGCTCCAACAAATTGCCACAGATGCTCGTAGATCCTTATTCTGATTTTAGTCAGAATAAAACGAGCATGTCTGCCATTTTTATATTTCAAAGAAAGATTTTAACCACTACTACAATGAAATGAAGATCACATTAGGTGTGTAATTGATGCGATACTCATAATTTATTATTTGACAAATGAGTGTCTACAGTACAGTAAAGAAAAAAAAAATCTGCCAAGTTCTTTTAATGTAGTCTTTGTATTAATGTTGACTTGATATGGATTTTATATGGTTTTCATACTCAAGACGTTTAAATTTAATCACCCATCTGAGTACATTTTTTATTACAAAAAAATGTTTTTGTGGATTCACACCACATATCATATTAGAGCAAACTTGCCTAGTCATACAAAAAAGATAAAAAAAGAAATAAAGATTTTTTTATTTTATTTTAATAATCAGTGCAGTTTTGTTTAATGTATTTTGTTATACTAATATTAATAATACAAGATTATTCCAAACTAATTTTTCCCCTCAAGAGTTTCATACTTTTAATTAGGCTTTTTTTTCATTATGACTGATTTATGACTTGATGCCTCCAGAAAAAATATCAATGACTTTGAATTGAAAAAAAAAAAAACAGGTTATCATAGAGAGTGTGTATTCAACTCATTATATGTATGAATTCCATTTAAAAGATTTCTTTAACCCAGTTCCACTAAATAAGATAAAAATCATTCATCTTGTAAACATGATCATTTTGACATGACTTGAAAGAAACATCTCTTTAATTTAATACAAATTTCATATTTCATGATCGGATGTGATCTTGACAGCATTCAAGAGAAATAAAACATGATTAAAACTCCTTATATTCCGAAAAGCCGCTTATAGGATCTCAATGTTTTTTAGAAAAAATAAAAATAAAAATCATGCTCCTTCCTCACAGTTGCTCCTGTCCTCATTTCTCACTTTTCTGGTTTTGTATCTGCAGTGCTTAAGGCTCCAGTGGCCTCATGTCCCCCAGGGGCCTCACAGAAAACCCTTGACGGCAACCATACACCTGTCGTCTTACACACAGACACACACACTCGCTTTACTTCACCCGAGGACAGTGTGTGTGACAACAGTGCCCTCTACAGAAATGCACACACACACACTTTTTGGACCAGGAGAACAGAGAGAATCCAGGGCTTTTAGATGACATACAATCCTTGAAAACCATGATGGATGATTTAAATTATTTATAGGGGAGGTTGCTAGACTTCCTTTTTTTTTTTTACTGCAGTCAATATGTCTCAAAGTAGACACATACCTTAAAGTCTTGGTAGTGAGGGATGGAATGGTGAAGAAACAGTGTAGATCTGTGTGGATGGATGGATAGATAGTTACTGAAATATTGCCCTTGTGACAACTAGCCCCAATCTGCACTACACAGAAAAAGAGAAAGTATAAGGCAACACACACACAAAAAAAGGGATTTGTGACAAAAACGGCCTAGTTTTGACATTTACAAGTATAAGCATTTTATAAAACAATTTACTGCATTTTTTCAGTTTAATTTTTTTTCTTTGTTATATAGGGTTGTTGTATATTAATAATGTTAATATTGATAATGTTCTAAACTTACATTATGCATATAATATATTATATAATGTAGTATAATAAATGAAAACAAATACAAATCCCAATCTTTAATATAATTCTAAAATGTCAAATTTAATGGCAGCATGCATCATTTATTTATTGTTTATCCCAGGTTGATCATACAGTATATATATAGGCTATTAATATATAAAAATAATGTAAAATTGCATGTAAAGTTAAGTCAATCTGACCAGATTTGGCTGATTCTTATAACACACTTTATTTTAGATCAAATGAGAGATGAGATGTCGCATCAGTTTTGACTGACTTTGAAATACAATTAAAAAAGTGACACGATCCAGACTGAATTCATGCAGCGAAACCTATGTATATGTACCGTGAGAGAGCAATCTGAAATCAAAGCATACACAGTCCCAGAAGCCATCAGAAACCTCTTCTCCACTCATCCGTCTCTCCACCCATCTGTCACTCCATCTCCCCATCAGTTTGAAATGTCAGCGGCATCAATCTTCAAGCAGAGAGTTACTGATATGTCTAACCCTGCGTGAAGTTCAGGACCCCGCGTAATAAACATCCTGACAGCTGAGACGGCCCTTCAGTCTTTTAGCATCGCCAAAAACATGGATGAGAAGAAAATCTGAGCTGTGCACACACACACACACACACACAGTGTCTCAGGAGCTCTCCAGCGCAGTAGAAATGGTGTAGATCTGTGTCTTCAGTCTCTTCTTCATCTCTCTGATCATCTGACAGAGGGCCAGAGGGTAGCAGCAGTATACCGTAGTCCAGTCCTCACACACACTGCCCTAGACACACACACAGGACACTCTAATGTAATATAGCCAGACAAATTAGAGTTTGTAGATTTCCAAGTAAGGATACGTTTCCCTGATATTGATTTAACACCCCCACCCAAGTCAAGGAATCTAGTTACGGAATTTCATTTACGGAATCTTCATCTAACTGTCAAATACTGGATGTGTTTTACTTCTTAGCACAAGAAGCTTATGACAAGATAAATCAAAGATAAATCTCTACACCTAAAGGAAATATTGTAAAACACTTCTTTTTCAGGTCACCGTAATCCACTGCTCAGCAGAAACTCCAGGCTACAGGAATATCTGACTTGAGTTGTTGGTTCTCGCATTAAGGTGAATTTTTTGGCATGCACATCAATCTTAGATTGAGCGTAGCTGGCACATTGCCAGGAAACGTTGCCATTTATGCTAATGCTTATTCTATGCTGTTTTAATTGTATTTTTTTAAAATTCATTAATTTGAAAAGGTTACTGCTAGCACTACATTATTGTATGTATGTATGTATGTATATACAGTGGGTACGGAAAGTATTCAGACCCCCTTAAATTTTTCACTCTAAAACTTTTAAATAAACAAACAAACAAACAAATGTTACTTCAATCAATCAACTTTAACTGAAATAAACTATAAAAAACAAACAAACAAAAACTTATTTCAGCTAGTTGCCAAGGAAACATTTCTTATTTCTGTTTAACTTGAAGTACTAAAAAAAAAAACTAAAACAAAATAAACTAAAATAATAATAATAAATAATAAAAACTTTATTACATATTTAAAACACACACACAATTTCTAAAATCAAAGTGAAAACAGAAAAAATAAATAAAAATGAAATAAAATTCTAAATATTAACGAAAACTATAATAGTATATCAATGATACTACATACTACATGTTGTCACATTATTCTTGGTCAATGTCTACAAGGTTTTCTGTAAAAAGTATCACTATTATATTATTTTATATACTGTATTAAATATGAAATTAAATATATAAACATATTTTTAAAGAGAGAAATGTCATAGCATAAAGTTGAACAGAATGTGTAGGGACAGATTTTGCCTTAAAGCATTTATATAAATATATAAATAAAAACTCCATAGGCAGTGAAAGCATGGCGTATTAATTATAATAAAAGTAAAATGATGACGAATGAGGACATGCATGACTGACATTCTGGCATAAAATGTGTTACATACATTAGTGAGTGCATTAGATTGCATACATTAGTGTGCACTTTGCTTAAAAAAAAAAAAAAAAAAAAACAAATTTTTTGCATTTTTAACACTATCAATGACAATCCGAGGTTGACTTGGTGCAATGATTAACACTAAAAGTGCACACTAAACAGATCAAATCAACTGCAGAATCTTGCTAATTTTGGTAGTAGTAAACTAGCACTTTTTTTTCTGTAACATTTTAGATTGAACTGAAAACTGCAAAAAGACACTTGCAAATATACAGCACTAAACCACTCTTTTTTTTTTAAATTACTGCTGAATCCTTACCCTGATTTTAAAGCGCTCTCGAATGCCCACCCTCATGGCGAATGTGGAGCCAGGCAGCAGAGGCAGACACATGCATTCTCCATACTGATGAGCCAGACTCAGGTCCAAACAGCACGGCACAAATGCACCCATCAGAACTGCACAGAAGAGGAGAGAGATGCTATGAAACACGGGTTGGGATCTGTAGCATGAGCTTATCTGTAATTAATTTAACACGGACTACAAAAAAAAAAGGATTCAATTCTGATAAATATGGCTTTGAAAGATAAATCAATGTCCTTGGAAAAAGCTGAATTTTGTTTAATGCCCAGATTTACTTTAAATTAATGGAAAATCGTTAACAATTTATAATCATTAAAGGGCTAGTTCACCCAAAAATGAAAATTCTGTCATTAATTACTCACCCTCGTGTTGTTCGAAACCCGTAAGACTTTCGTTTATCTTCGGAACACAATTTAAGATATTTTTGATGAAATCTGAGGGCTCTCTGACCTCCCATAGACAGCAAGGTAACTACCACGTTCAAGGTGTGTGAAACGGTTCACAATCACTGGATTAGGAAAACAACCGTAATTGTTTTATGCTTATAATGAAGAGTAATACATGGTGGAGTACTAAGCCACCGTATAGCTGTAATTTTAAAAAAAATAAATAAAAAAAATTCTTTGTACGTAATTTATGTGGTTAAGTAATTTATGTGATTTGTAAAGTATTTCATCCGAGGAAGCAGGATACTCTGTATCTGTTGGACAATTTTAGTCATGGTTTACTGTGACAAACTACAGTAATACAATACAAAATCAAAGTATTTAAGGACACATTTTATAATTAATAACGTAATCAAGAAATTTAATAAAATAATAAGGGTAACACTTCAGTTTAGGGACCAATTCTCAGTATTAACTAGTTGCTTATTAGCATGCATTTACTAGCATATTGACTGTTTATTCGTACATATTAAGAACATATTAATGCCTTATTCTGCATAACCATATTTTAGATACCTTAATCCTACCTCATACCAAAACTTAACAACTACCTTACTAACTATTAATAAGCAGCAAATTAGGTAAAAAAAAATAACTATGTGAAAAAATAAAAATAAAATGTTTTTTTTTTTTTCCAGTCATAGTTAATAGTAAGAATTCAACCCCAAACTAAAGTGTGAGCATAATGAGTTTTATACTCAGGAATTTGTTTTCTATATTTTTACACAAGACCAAAATGTTGATGGCAAGGGCCCCCGTCTTAGTCCCAAAAAATAAAGATATACAGCTATGGAATTCTGTGTGCAATTTGTCAATAAAGTTCAATCTCAATTACTGGTATAGAGAGGCAGAGGCTTCATGGACAGACTTACAATGAATAAGCTGCTGCGTTATGCCGAGTTCACACTGCACGATTTTCAAACTCGTCGGATCGCCGTTGTTTTCACACTGCGTGACTATCTGAGGTAGCATTCAGTTACTGCTGTGTTCACATTGCACGATGGATCGGCGACAGGGGGTTTCACATTGCATGACTTCACAATAGGAAGAATCGCCGACAGCTCTGTCTGGTCCGCAAACTACGTTTCACAACAAAACACACGCGAGAAGTGATAAGGAAATAATGCGAGAACCCGCGTGCGTCAGACCGGAGTTCTCGCGAGCAAGACTGTAATTATTAAAAATAT